CTGCCTCCCTCCCTCTCTCCCTCCCTCCCTCTCTCTCTCTCTCTCTCTCTCTCTCTCTCTCTCTCTCACTGACTGACTGACTGACTGACTGACTGACTGACTGACTGACTCACTCACTCACTCACTCACTCACTCACTCACTCACTCACTCTCTCTCGCGCAACTCCTTGTTGCGCAGTCTGGTCCGCAAGGAGCAATGATTATGTGATCATCTTCTGTTTCGGCACCTAGCTGTCGCAGATGCTGTACAGATGCTGTCGTTAGAAACAGATCAGAATCTTTTGGCACAACCATTTAGTTAATGCACTTCGCAAGGTTAAGGCATCTTCAACTGGCATCCCCTTACCACGCTTGGTTGCGGACCGTGCTGCTCAGCGCATCATGCCCGACCACTCGGACACCAAAGCTGCGGTCGATGATTACACCAGCACCTGGCCCGAAGCTGACCAGCAAGTTTGACCCATGCTTAATCCGTGGCTGACATGAGATTCTCAGGGGCTCCCAAATATCTCGACTTCATGAGAGAGCCTTTCCTGCCATCATCTTGGCTGGGAACGCACAGGCATGCTCAATAAGTTTGCAACTAGTCGAAGAGGCCAAGCCAGTTTAATAAATCAGATCTTTGTGCCTCGCGGGCACAGGGCGATCCGTCATTCTTGTCTTTCTTTCAGTTGGGGCACAATGGGTCCTACCGGAAGCCGGGTCCAAGGCCCCTCACCCCGCGGCTCCCTGTGGCAAAGACCACGGTTGGTTTCTAAGGCCTTCCGGCGGCGCGGTTATTGGAGAACCCACAAGTTTATCCCCTGCCTCCCGCCTCACAAGTCATAGGTGTTGAATTGCTCGTAACCCCAGTGGATCACCGAAGAATGGGGACTAGAGGTGAAACGGCAAAAGCGTCACAAAGCCCGCTCACGGGTTCACGTCAACTCACTTCAACACATCGCTGCAAAGCTATCGGCTTTAGCACTAGCTTGTGCGCAAAAATCGCAGAGGCTCTTGTCTGGCTTCGCTATGAGTTTTCGTGGTCTTGTTCGGATCCCGCAAACAACAGAATCGCCGAGAGATCCTCGTGGCATGGCCAAGCTGAAAATAACCGCCCAGGCAAACGTGCAGTGAACTAGCGCTCTTCCGCTGAATTGAAGAAATGCCACTTGAAGACACGGGGGCTCGTGCCCGCTTGGAAAATGCCAGGGGATGCTTGGCTCTTTGCGACCATGCTGCTGCTGTGTATAAAGCATTGGATATTGTCAAGTCCTTTTGAGTGATTCAGCCCCTAACTCATGCTTCCTTTGCATCGTCTCGGCTGCGAGCTGCGGAGAATGGCCGGATTTTCCCGTAGCAGGTTGCTCTTGCTTCAGAGGCAAGGTCTGAGATGGACAGGAGGCCTCATGAGGCATATGGCATGCATGACTCATGCATGGTGCTGTGTCTCGTTCTCTGCGGCTCACATGGTCTGGCGACTCTCCCGTCTGTTAGTCTGCGTGGTTGTAATGCTGCACAGGTGATGCACACATCGGGGTGCAAGCACCCCACCCTCAGACTGAGGGTGGCCATGGCTCGTAGAACCATGCTGCAGAGAGCTCGTCGACACGGAACCCGAAACATGCGACTAGCCCAAAATGATACTTGCTGTGGACCTGCGTCGTCTGCCTTTGAAACTTCGTCCTCTTGCGGTGGCATGAACCTGTGTGCATACCTATCTCGCTCTCTCTCTCTCTCTCTTCTTCTTCTTCTCTCTTTCTCTCTCTCACCACATTGCTTACCCCTCCTCTCACTCCCGCCCATGCACGATTCGAGTTCCTCGGACACAGGTTGAGGACACATCTTTTCAGGGACGACTCTTGACAAATTCGAGATTCTTTGCCTGCACGCTCCCGGCAAGCCCTGCTCTGGACTCTGAGTGAAGCCTCCCGAAACTTCAAACGAGGGATACAGTGGTCTGGGGACCGTGTCCCTTCGAAATTCTGCTGGCTTTTTGAGTTTAGAGTGTCCACTTCACCTTGGGACCCTGTTGGCGAAATCGCCAATCGCAAAAAATGAAGGGTTCAGGTCGACCCGCAACGGGGCACATCTCATATGGTTTTGGCAGGGCATTTGCAGGCTATGGTGCATGGCAGTTATCGACATGTTTTCCTCGCACGATCGTCTCGGTTCGCTCCTATCTGTGATGTCGGTTCAACAAATCCTTTTGGCCAGCGGAATGCAAGAAGAGAGGAAACCCGTTTCCGCCGACGAAGACCGGCAAGAGAAAGCACACACGTGCTCCTGGCAAACACTCCCTGTACAGAGGTTGTACAGAGGAAGGACCTAGACGAAACAGATGATAATTCCGGAGAGAAATCAGCGGGCTCACAGGCTTGGCGGTTCTCTATGCAAGTTGCCCCGTCCCTCGAAGCGTCGCAGGCTAGCATAGCTTCCCCCGTTGAGCTTTTTCGGGCTTATCAGCCTGGTGACTGCGACCATGGATTCGGCCGATTTTAAATTCTTGTACAAGCGGCCTTCTCTCCTACCATCTGCGCTCTCTTTGCCTCGCTCCCCGGATTCTCCCTTTCGAGCATGTCAGGTTGAGTTGGGAGCCTGGACGCCCGTGAAGGTGAAGGCGGATTACCACACTCCTGCCAACAAGGGTTGCTGTCTGTGCGCAAGGCCAAGACTCGAAGTCTCGAAAGCTACTGGTACAGGAGCATGTGCTTTCAAAGACCCGCCTGATTTCGCAGGACACCGGAACGACCACATACCGGTACATGCGCCGTTCCCTGCCAAGGCACTGTGGTTTTGCTCGATTCTGACTGTCTGCCCGGCCCGGGTGTGATTTCGAGATCTCTGGCTGCTGCTCTGCAGCTGCCGCCCCACGGCTTCAAGTCCCTTCATGCATGGTTTACTGTTCTACTGTCGCAGCTCTTGCGTCCTGCAGCCCCGAAACGAGACTAGAGTCTTTTGCACGATCAAAGCTTCGCAACGCTCCATTGCAGGAAGCCCTCAAGGATTCAAGGATGCTCTCGAATCTGTCAGGGATGCAAGAGAGATAAAGCAACAACCGATTATTATCGGTGAGGACAGAGTTGGCGATGGCTTCACTCATTTCGCGTTTTGATTGTGCTGTTACGTCCAGTTCTTGTCCTGCGCACATGACTCGTCTCGCCTTACGCCTCCTCTGCTCTCCTTACCATGTGCCAGTTCCCACGCCGAGCCTTGCACCGCATCCAAGCCGCAGGTCTGTCACGCAGGGCCTCGAGCTCTGAGGGCTCAGATTCGGAGCACCAGTCAGAACGAGTCAAGCTGGATCCGACTGCATGTCGTTTGTCATGTGGACACCGAGGCCACGGCAAGGTGAGACCATTCAAGTAAACCTCATTTACCACAAGCTCATGTTCTAAAATCGGAACAGCTTGAGACAGCATTCTGACCCCCGGTCAGGCAGACTCCCTTCAACTGTCTGCACTCACAAGCCCTACTGCCGGCCATGCGACATCAATCTCCTCAGCACCGGTGCAGCCGTAGGCGACGAAACACACTGTCTGGGTCGAATGCTCACTTTACTCCTGTTGCGTGTACCGCGCTAGCACTCCCGCTGCGCCTTTTCGGCACGGAAGCTGAGCCCACGAGGTAGGGGCTGCAAGCAACCGAGCTGTGCTGCCTCCCAACTTATCACATTGGCCCCAAAATGCTATCCTCTGCAGTGTGAGGTACGAATAGCCCGAGGCCTGAAGCGTTAAAGCCGACGTGAAGGCTGCCAAATCCTCCACATCCTTCACATCCTCCTTGAAAGCAGGCACGCAGCGGCACGCGCATGCCACCCAGCCATGCCACGCCCTAGCACCACAACTGCGGCAAAGCTTCAATCACTGGCCGACCATGAACGGACAGTGCCATTCCCACCTCCTGAGGAAGGTCAACAGCCACTCAACAGCATGTCAGAACCCATGCGTTTTGCTGGCACAGCCCACTCAAGCACCGGCCAAACCAGACCCTCTCCTTGCCAGCAAATCGGAGCCCATGGCTCGGGCTTAGCTGAAGAGAGGCCTGTCCGATGGTCACACGGCTTTCCTGCAAAGGTCTCCTGTCACGCACAGTCCTCGCAATCCTCCAAGACCACCTCGATGGATCTCACATGGACCTGCGCATAGGATCTGAACCAAGCCGATGGCAATTGCCAATAGATTCAATAGACCAGTCCATGGGAAACCAAGACTATAGACGCCCTCACATTCGCACCTCTGACGGACAGCAAAACGTGAAGAGCTTGAAGGATGGACTCGGAGTGAAGGACCTCGGACCGGAGAACCCAGGCTCCACAATTTCCTTGACCACTTCTGCAAGTCCTTCTGCAGAGATCAGGCATGATCAGGCAAGAAGCGCGAACTCTTCGCCGTTGCAGCGCAGCACAACCTCAACTGACCAAGGCATCACAGCGACCGAATCCACGAGCTCACCAGAGTCGAAGTCGGGCGGCACGGGTCGGCTTCTGTGAACGCGCCAGCAAGTCCAAGCTACCGCCACGTGGCGGTAGCAGCACCGACTGCAGGGGCAACCGAGCCGTCTTGCGCTATTTTCGAGCGGATCTTGCAGGGCCACACGCCTCTATGTTCATGTCGACCTCTGACTCTGACAGCACCACGTCGCACCAGGCACGGCCGGGAGGGAACACCCCCTAGGCCAACAAACAAACTGCACGGAATAATTTCAGAGGGCGCGTGCTTCGGCCACAGAAGCTGGCACCTCACCAGCAAAAACTCGTGCAGGATGCACACCATCGCCCAGCTCCTGGGAGAAACGGCCAGAAGGAACATGTTGAAGCTCCGGCAGCAACTTGTTGCGTGCTGAAGCTGGCAGGGACACCAAGGAACGCCATGCCTCGTCGAAGAACTGCAGCGGGCGAGGGTGTGATGTACTTTGCCCTCAACAGCTCAAGATAAGTGGAGCTAAATTCAGAACGAATGAGCTGGAGCCTGGGAGCAGCGATGCAAGCCGCAAGCTCATCTTGGCATGGTGGAGCTCCTCTTCGAAGTCCTGAACCCATCGCGCTCACAGTGTCAGGATTTGTGTTCCTGGCATCTGTTTGGAATCTTTGGGCCTAGGGGCCTCCGGAGACTCAACTCCACCGGGAGGGAACTGCAGAGAAGCGGAGGGTTGAGGTGAGCATCGAATGCCGCAAGCATCATGAGGTCCGGGACACAGCTATCAACGCGCATCGGCCCCGCACGAGACAGTGCTGAGTCAATTTGCCAGCAGTCCTCCGAGTTGTTTTCACGGCCTGACATTTCGAACTAGTGCCAACCGGATCCGTGTTCGGCCAATGTCCGATGAAGAGGGCACCTCCGAGCTGCACTTTCTGGCTTCTCGCGAAGCCTCGCCTTAGTGTATAAGTCTGTCACCAAGGGAGATTGGTTTCTAAATGGCTCAAACTCAACATGCGCTAGTTAGTTGATGGTCTATTGCAAGCAAGTCTCTCAAAATAGTCGTGAATATCATCCGGCAAGCCTTCGTCCACTACTTCGAAAGCTTCCTGGGCAGCACACAGGTCGGCTACGCCTTCCGATTGTTGCGTCCACAAGCTCACATGAATTGCAGGACAGCATCAACAAAAATGCCGCCCAGCATATCATCTACCTCCAGACTCTGGTGACTGCCGAGTTGCTTTGCATCCTGACTCGTCGCAATGAGAATACTGTACCTGGCATTCGATGGACGTGCACTGAAGCATATCACTGCGAAAGGTGCGATCTCGGACACCTACATCCGCCGACCCTGGCGGCATGGTGAAAAGTGAAAAACCTCCCTTTTTCCCTCCTCAGATCCGAAAACGCGTGGGCGTTTGGAAGCAGGGAGGTGTGGTCCCCCCATGTCCCCCCCGACAGCTTGATCTATGGAGGACCAGGAACTTGCGCCGTGTGAACTCAAGGACCAGGGGAACTCAGCAAAACTCAGCAAAAATATTCGGCGAAATCGCACTGTCTGATGCCAACCAGAAATGGGGTTCTCGGCTGAGTCCCGTCCAATGAAATCCAAGAAGAAGGACCGGTGTACAGCGACGATGGTACAGTGTGTCACAAGCTGCAGGTACCTGAAGAAGGCGTCCCTTCTTCATATTACAGCAAATCTCACTAGTCTTTGTGCGCAATCCAAAAATGTTCGCTGCAACCCGGCTGAATTGCAAATCGTGCTGTGTGCGTGACGAAAATACCCCTGGACACACACCTTGCCGTAGCCGGGGTGATCAATGCATCAGACAGGAAGCTACGACTGTGTTGGACCGGTAGTGCCACGCGATGAAGTAGTCGAAGTTGGCACTGCTGAAGTTGACGTCGTCGAAGTTCTCGTTGAACATGATCAAGTATCAGAGGCTGGTTCGATTCCCGTCGTGCTCGTTCGTAGAGTCGTAGTGTCGGAAGGTTTGGTAGCACGCATACTAGACGATGCCGATCGTGTCGTCGTAGTATTGCTTTTCACAGCTTGGTGGACTCTGTGGCTCACGCAAAGTAGCGACATGGTAGTTGAAGGTGATGGAGCAGTGTCAAGCAATACTTGTGGTTATCCAATAGGTCCAGGTAGTCCGCACGAAATGTTTGGGAGTTCTCGGATGCCAAACGGTTCAGATTGTTGACGTAGTAGTCGTTGTCGTAGCTCCGTATTAATGTTCCGTGTAGATAACGAGGAGTCTGTGGGACAGACCAAAGGCGGCCTTCCAGCAAGTAGATCATCCGAGTGGCCATAAGTGCATCTGCGAGTGGCACTGAGCTGGTACATGTCGGGGTAGATGTGGGGGTAATCGTCGTCATGGTCGTACGGACGAGTATATCCATATTGGTCCATGGCAGCGAAGTGTGTATGGGGATGGGAAGGGATGTGCTGAACTCCGACGGGGAAACCAAGCGACGAACAAACGAACAGGGGAGCAAGAGAATAATGCGCACGTGGGGGAGGAAGTCCTTTGCCTGGGGACCAGCCCTTCGGTTGACGGTGTCGGATGAGACTGTCGCTGCGCCTTCAGTCTCTATGTCGTTGGTGATCCGGGCCTCGTGCTCAAACTGCATCATCCGGAGGGCGTCGATATCATCCGGGGGCGAAAGGAAAGGTCGGTACATGCTGCGCGTGTTGGTCTCTGTTGCTTCCGCTCTGGTTGTGGGTCGGTGTGGAATAGTGCCCTGTCGACGTCGCACTCCTTGGGGATGTAGTCGTTGTCAGCCTCGTCGAAGTCGTCCAACTCCATCACTTGTCTGACCGTGTTAGGTCGATATTTTGGTGGTGGCGGCGACGGTGCATTGTCCTCCAGGGTCAGTGGTCGAGTGAGCCGGTCTCTTGCCTTGCCGACCCCGGACGTGGAAGCGTGGGGTGCATTCCGAAGTACTTCGTAATGCCGGCAAGAGCTCCCCGACGTGGTACTGGGGCGGTCTTCCGTCTGAGACGATACACTTTGGGTATGGCCCATCATCACCGCCCTCGTTTACTTTGCCGTGCAACGTCCGACCCCTACAAGGCTGACCAACAGCACCGAGGACGACAGCCGCCTCAACGACGTTAGGGAGGAGAGTGGGGTCAACCTGGTGCCAGTGAGCAATCAGCGCCTGATGTTGGGCGGCGTTGTCGCCATGAGGCATGCCTTGACCACGCAGTGGCGCTCGGAGCCGGTGTGAGGGCCGCACTGTGCGCGACCGAAAAGGCCTGGAACTGCACCGCCCCTTCCGCGTTGTGGCAAAGAAGCGCTGAAGGGAGGCTGCGCCTCACCGCGCTAAGGAGACCTCCACGCCGCTGTGGGCGGCCCCACCTGTCACGAGTGGGGCTCTGGGGGTGTAGTAGGATCTAAACCCTAAACCGTCGAAGGAAGCTCAAACGGTCAGAGCTTCTTCATCCGACAGCGCGGCTTCCTGAAGCATGAGAATGTCTGCACGCCTGACCGCAGGATGAACAGTGTCGGCCTCGATCCAAGGCGAAACATGGCCCGCCAAACGCCAGGAGCCCCCAGCGGCGTTTAAGCTGATGACTTAGGCATCTTGCATTCAGCGAGCAGTACGCGAGGGACGTGGGGTCGCGACTGGCCCGGGGTGGCTAGCCTCTCCAACACGCTCGCCTCGATGCTCACCGTGTCGCCATTGCGCCTGTTCACTGGTAGTGGGAGGCGCTCCAGAACAGGCAGAAGCCGCGCCGCCGCCCTCCCGAGGTCCTGGGTTCTGGGTTGACCGGCCACTGCTTCCACATGCTTGAACGCAGGCCAGGAAATGCGCCGCCTTCGACGAGTCTTTGCGGGCATCGTCGCGTGGCCCACAGTTGGCGCTTGGAGCAGGGTCTGGGGGCCTGTATGGAAACCCATCACATAAACGAAAACCCTAAACCCGAACTACTCAAGCTTTTCCTCGCCGGAATGCCGGTGGCGGCCCATTGCGCATCATCGAGGCCTCACGCCGCCTGAATAACAGTTTCATTCGCGGGCCTGTCCTCATGATCTGCTGAAGGTGACGCCTCGCGCTGGTGGGAGCCCTAGACGTGGCCGCACAAAGCTTTCGCTGGAGGTCACAAGGGGTGCCGAGGCTCAAACAAGCGCGACAACACAGCTGCAAGCAGAAGTGCTGCCCCCTACGTTCCTTCTGGGGGTCACGCTCAAATTCGAGGTAAAGCAAGGTGTGACTGGACTGCTGCTGAAGCTGGGCTAAGCCGGCCAATCGCTGGCGTCTCTTGTGCTGGCCAACCTTAAGTCCCCGCTGGAGCATCCTAGCCCGGAGGCCTTGGCTTGTACCGATACACCGCCCTCGCAAAAGTCTCAGGATGGTGGGTTCGAAAGGTGTGCTGCACACTACGCCAGTGGGAGTTGGCCGGGAGAGAAGGCAGACCAACCTGACACAACTCACAAGTCCAGCATCTTTGGGCGGCCGGAATGGCAGCGCTTGCTTCGACGATTTGGAGTTTCACCCCAGGGCGGTCAACCAGCGAAGCCGGCAGCCGGCCGTGGCGGCCATACAAATGATTCCACTTCCTCATAAGCAGTTAGCGTGCACGTTGGCCGGCGGGAACTTGCACGGTGTGACGACAAAGCGGGCGCACCCAACTCTGCTCACGCTAAATTGGTGTCGGTCGGGGGGGCCGGAAGAGGCCTTCGGTTCTTTGGCCTGAGCCGCGGCGGAGCTCGATTTTGGCGGGGGTAGGCTGCAGCATCTGGGCGAAACGGGTCTTCGCTGTCGACTTCTTGGCCCGCGTCTTCGACAGTGGTGGGCGGGGTCGTTTCAGGGGGCATCCAGCTGCCGTTGCCTCTGTGCGGGGCGTGCGGGGTTAGGGGCCCTGTGCCTAACGACCCGGAAGAACCGACCTAACCCTGAACCTCAGAGCGTGGGCGCCAAGGCCGGTCGCGAACTGGCACTGGGCGTCGCGGCAGGAAGCCAGCTCCGGACGCAGCGAGCTGAGCTGCGTGTCGGCGTGTGAGCCTCAGTGGGTGGTGGTGACCTCTGGTAGCCAGTCCTCCTCCTCGTCGGCGCTCGCGCGGGGGAAGTTGTCGAGACCCTGAGTGTACTCAACCACTCATGCGGCCATGGCTTGGCCTTGTCGGGCAGCACAACCGTCGTGTTGGTCCCTCAGAACGAGGACTGTGGTGGGCACGTTGCTGCGCCCACCGTGGATGTACACAATGAGCAGTGCTTCCTTTCCCTTTTCGGGGAGGATGTGATGTTCACACCAAGGCGGGTGGAAGCCACTTGAGCCGTTTCTCCGCATAACCACTTGGACCTGCCATTACGGAAAGGAGACTGGAACCATTTCTCCCACGTGCTCGGCACAGCGCCAGCTTCTGTTGTTTCATTCCAACTTGGATCCCGGCAACATCGCGGCTGATAATCCCGAGAGTGTTCACATGTTGATCGAGAGTCTGACCCATCGTGTGGCAAGCCGCTGCGTCCTTCGGCGGGGCCCCACCGCGAGCGAGGCTGGCTCCAACAGCGATAGAGTTGTAGCCGCAGTTGCCGCTTCCACCAGCATCATACTCCTCGAAGCCCTGCAGGTCTAACGGGGGCGCGGCATTGCGCGGCTTCTTAGACACCCCACCACGGGCTTCGCTTGTCCCCAACCTGGTTGCCAGCAGCGTCCTGGTCGACCTCCATTACTTATGCAGCAGGGGCCGACCGACGACTCTTGGACAGTTCCAGTTGGCGGGGGAGCCTGCTTCCACCATTCGCCGGGGCGCCTCTGTGTGACAGTGACAGCCTTCGGTAACCGAGCTTGCTGACGTGTGAAACTGAAGAGAGAGTCGCCCACATGCACTGCCACCACACTGCCAATCTGATCCTTCGGGGGGGTGGCCTTCAAGAGCCAAGGCCTGCGCTGCTTAGGATATTTGAGCACCTGGACTCCATCCAATCCTGCGCCCGCGACAGCAGACAACACGTCAGCCTCCCTCCACCATCTCGGCGTACCCACCAGGGTCCAGGCAGAAGACGCAGCTTACGGCGGCTTACTAATGTCTGTGTCCTACACTCGTAGCCTACTTTCTGAACATGTTCATGCTGCGGTTCTTGGCTTGGCCCCTGGCCACACATCAAAAATTGCACTGATCAGGCTGTGCATCACTGACTTGCCATAGCTTCGTTGGACAGGATAGGCNNGCAAGTCAGCTCCTGTCCCCCTGCTGGCTTTTGCGTCTCAAATGCAAACATACACAAACACAAACACGCACGAACACACACCCGCGCAAGCGTGCACATAACACCCGTTACCGAGGTGTGAAACCTCGCTTGGACAGACAGGTACATTCAACAGGTCGAGGTGCATTGAAGAGGGGTTCGTGCTGAGTAGTTTGCAGTTATGTCCGACCCATCAAACGGCACATGGCAGAAGAGCTCAGAACAACATTAGTTATCAGTCATTAGCAACCATGGCCCCTTTGCCGTGTCGCCAAATGCCGGTTTCGACAACGCTACAACCGATTTTCGTGCTTGCCGAGACCGTGCATGCATGGCTTGCGGGCATCGTTCACCCGCCGCGAGCGTGAGGTTTCAGATTGCCACGCCATCTCAACATCCCACAAAATGTCAACGGAGTTAGAAAAGGGACGTTCATTGGCACTGGCTCTTGCACCTCTTCTCATGTCCGAATTGCTGCATGACGAAGCGTTTTGTTGAAACGTTGGGTTCCAATATCACAAGATCACAGTGCTAACACCGGCATTTCAACATGTGCTGCGGGCTCAACAAACCTACAGCATTTTTGGGTGGCCGTTGGAGACGACAATGCGCTCATGTTTCTCAACATGTGTAAAGATGCGAATGGTTGCTGCCACCCTGCCCTGCACAAATCTTCGGGCCCAGCACGGACGGCTTTAACGCCACGGCTGAGGGCAGCAAGTGCATGCTGTATCACCTTATCTCATCAAACGAGTCGGGCTGCCGAGCAAGCGTCCCGGCTGCAGCCCGTGCCCATGGCTTGCGGATTTCGACTCACATCTCGACAGCTTTGGACTTTGAAGGGCCTACGACCGACTGTGGAATCTCGGCTCGAAGTGATGGCTTCATGGTCTGCCTGTCGGGTGGAGCAACAACTCGCTTTTCGAGTGTCGCTTCCTGGTGAAAGCTCAGCTTCAGAAACAGCAGCGCCACAGATTGCACTTGCGAATCAAGTCCACCTGCTGCTGGGTGTTACCGGTAACTGCTAACTGCTACACCAGAAATTCCCACGCGATTCCAAGTCACAGCCTGACACCCCTGGAGCTCGCGAATGTTTGCCCTGTGTGCACATGTTCTGAGTTGCACCTTGGGTGCGCAGCCTGCATTCGAGCTGGATCTGGACATTGCCATGCAAGCACAGTCTTTCTGGGAATTTCCAGGAAGCTTGAACGCATCTCCACACAAGCGATTCTGTGGAAAACAGAACATCCAGAGCAGTCTGTGAAGGAGTTTCGGCAAAAACGGAGAAACAGGGGCAGAAAGAGTTCAGTACAACTGGAACACGACTGAACATGAGTCGCTCTGGAATGCATCCATGGGCTCCTACCAAGGGCACATTAACAAAAGTTCCTGCGAGTGCAGAATCAAAGTGCGCACAATCGCAGCACATCACATTAACAGTCGAAGGAGATGAAAGTGCCCGACAGATAGACAACTTCAACTGCGAGCAGCAACGAGGCATCTCAAGCTGCGACCGGCCCTTCAGCCTCGAGTGCAAAAATTCAAGACTGTGACACGACAAAAGTTGGCCACGACCTGCCATGCCGTCTTTTCTTGAAGGTCGTAGTAAAATGGCATGCTCGGAGTCTCGACATTCAACCGGTTGCATCTGAGGTCTCGTCTGGGTCAGATGCTGGACGTCCTGCACGACTGAAGCTAGCTCAAGAAGGCAGGTCCACTGCGCAGCTTGAAAAGCCACAAAAGCCTGCACCACAAAGTGTCAAACACAGGATGTAAAAGTGTCCTTTGCGCAATGCAAGTGCCCGAAGCATGTTCTCTGCCCGCATGCACCTCATCAAAACTGAATGGCTCAATTCTTGATGGGAAACGGAAAATGGCTGTGACTCTGGAGGTGCTGCACATCTTTGCTCCGAAAAATCTTCAAGGGCACCTCAGCAGACCCTCCGGGCTGTCTGTGCCATTCACGGCATCTGGCGGCACCTGGCCGAAGCTGCGGAACAAGTCCCAGCAGGCGTACAAAACGTACAGTGACGCGATTGCCCCTACGGCCCAGTGCCTCAGCCTCAGCCTCGACAGCTGCCCTGTCCACCAAATTTTGCAGAACAGTGCTCTCCTCCCAAGAGGCGGTGCTTGAAGCACAAACCATTCTTACCGACTTTGCTGCTTCGAAACCACTGACATACTTGCAACAACACCCACAACTTGATGACACACAACATGCTGTTGCCAGTCCAGCATGCCGAACAGCGATATTTGAGCCATGAACATCATATTCTCCCAAACCGGATCCAGGTTTGCCAGTCGTCCACGTTCGAACATCGAATCCGCGAACGATTTTCTGACACGGAATGAGTTTGCTCGCTTACCCCTGCAGATGCTTTCTGAAGCACCAAACAGTCCACATACACCCGATAACAAGCAAATCGGTTCCTCGCCTAGAAGACGGACATCACCGCCATCACCAAAGTGGAACAATAGACAGACACGGAAAGGCTAGACACAAAGACGCCGGCAGCAGGACACAGATTCGCTAGGACAAGGATGGACAATGGCACACCATGACATGGACAGCCGGTCACTGGGACACTGGACGCAGTCCCGCACATGAAAACGGGACCAGAACACATGACACCACTTGACACACGCGGACAATGAGACTCCCGTGCTGTGGTAAAAACGACGTACCGGTAAACTCCTATCGAGACACCGACACACGCGGACAAAAAACCTCCGACGACCCCGCCTTTCAGAGTAATCGACAATTAGACTAATACAGGTGGCCGTTGCGTATCAAACACTCCACGTTGCCCCTGTGCAGCTCTGAGTGCTGGCTTTTCCTCTTTGTGACTTCCTAGGGTCTCCAAAGCCCTCATTTGGCAGGACTTGCCCGTATAGGGGGCAAGGACACATGTGCTGGGGTACTGAGGTGGGCTCGCTCAAGCTGATAGCAAGAGCCGAGTCCGCGGTGTGCCGCCGGCTCGCAGACCCCAAAAGTATTGGAAACAGCATACATAATCCATCGACTTGAACCAGGGCAGCCACAGCTAGCCTCTATGTCTCTCTGCCGACTTGTCAAAGAAACAAGCTGCACCTTAGCCTCCATCCGAGTTCTGGAACGCCACACCGTGATTTCAAGACCCGAACCTATGCAGACACTCGTTCGTATTCTTCATCCGCAATCATATAACATGTACTGAACTCTTGTGCCAAGCGATCGCACCGGCTACAACCATTAGCCATGTAGCGTGCCTGCACAAGTCTTATTGGCTTCGTTTGCAGCAAGTGCTGCTACGAAAAATCGAAGCCCGAGCGACAGCAGAACGGAATTCTGAAGGATGTTGTCGGACTCATCAGTATACTGGAGGGTGTGTTGGATCAGCGAGCTTTGAGAAGCTCATTTAATTTACCTGTGGACCGCTGTCGAGGTTTCTGTGGGTTATCTGGGCGTCCGGCATGTTGGGTTTGCTTGATTTCTTTCCCGCTTGCACGAGAGCCAGAAAGCACACCGTGTGCTGGAACCTATATCCACATCGTCCGCTGCGCATTGTCGAAAATGCCCGGCAACATGTTATGACATAGACCCAGCACACATGTCAAGAATCAGAAAACTCGAGATTATCAGTAAATGAAAGCGAGAATCGAGTGAACAGTGACCACTGCTGCGGCAGCAGTGGCTCCCAAATATGTACCAATGTGCGTCCCAAATAGACACAAATTTCTTTTGGTGCATGTTAGGGCGGACTGTCTCGGCTTCTTTTGGAACATCGTGGGTCACTGGTGATTGCAGTGCTCGCTTGCGGGGCTGTAGCGAGCTTCATGGTCTCCTCATCCCGCACCATGTTTTCGAAGACGAATAGCACCCGGATCTTTTGCGGAGTTTTGTGCCTATTCCATCCTTGGGCCCACTCCGCGTGCTTAGACGCTTAGACTCTTGCTTTAGACCCTCCTACCAGGGCTCCGCCAAGGCAAAAGCAGCCGGTCGCCGGTCCGGGTCTTCGCACCTGGCAGCCAGCGAAGAGGTGCGCCGGTCAAGACCAAGTGAGTGCGACGACGTTTGCGAGCGAACGAGTCAGTAGTCGGATTGGCTGGCGACGTGGACGGACACATGAACTCAGAGAGCGATGAGGATTGGAGAGTTTCAAGATGTGATACAATGTCGGACCAGCCGGGATGGCAGGAGCTCTTCAAAGACAAGGATCTTGAGCTCCTGGTCTCCGACTGACAATGTGATTTTCCATACACAGGCGCTTAAATACCACGGGATCCTCGCTGTAAATCCAGCGGAAGCTGCTGCGCTTCTTCAGGAATGCCAACCGACGTTCCTGCAAAATGTCCTGGCACAGAACAGCACTTGTTCGACCTGTTCCTCACGATGCCTGCCGCGGCAGATAAACCATGTCAGGGATTCGGCAGAACCTCACGCGGCAAAAGAATTTTGCAGGTGCTGACCGTGTCCATGCGACAAACACTGATATTGATGCTTTGATACCACCAATCAAGCTTGGATCCACGGCGGCTCTGGGGCAATTTCAGTTGAATGAATCTAAGAGTCGGACACTCCTCTGCTTGGCACACCTGTCGAAATGAACAGGGAGGCGACGCTGGGGCAGACATGTGCTTACACTGTCAGCGCATTCGCGAACATGACAACACCACCACGCCTCTTGATGGCGAGACAGAGGAGGAAGGGTCTCAAAATGCCAAACAACTTTGCAACATGTTCATAACTCGCACTCAGAGATACTCTGTTGAGAGCGCCACCACACTGCGCTTGTCCTTTCGCTGCGGAGCACCTCGGACCGAGTTTCTGAGATGCACCGGGTTTCCTGGAGAAATCGAGTTTAGCAAATCCGTCACTGTGGCATAAGCTTCAGGTGCGAGGATAGACAAAACTAACTAGGTACTCAAATTCACATCTGCCGCCAGAGGTTCTTTTTGCACCAGCGTATGCTTGGTTCCCAAAGTAAAACTGCCACAGCTTTATGCCGGTGGCGGAGGGAGTGGAGAGGCGGGATGCTTTAGCCGCGGCATTGGTTCATGTTCGTACCTAGCAGGCAGGTACTCAAATTCACATCTGCCGCCAGAGGTTCTTTTTGCACCAGCGTATGCTTGGTTCCCAAAGTAAAACTGCCACAGCTTTATGCCTCCCACCATATCTTCCATCCACCTGCACACCAAATGCCGCTAGCCACCGGCATAATGAGAATACCAACGCTCGGTCGGCATCAATGATGCCTGCAGTTGCTCGGCCACGAGCAAAACCGCATGAAAGCTGTCCACAAGAGAGAAGACGCGCTGACGTGAACTCGGCTGCAGGAGATGAATAAACTGCAGGGAAGAAATCTCCTGGATATAAATCTCCATTGTCCTGCTATTCAGCCAACGTCCGCGCCTCCTAACCAGCTCCGAGTCTTCAGAGGAGTGTAGAAGCCAGGTTGCTCCCCCTGCCCGGAGGGAGCCCAGGTCTAGCTTCTTAGCACCTTGTCCAGACCAGCGGTCCGTTCCCAGACGGTGCATGATGGCCTCAAAACGACTCCGGAAAGTTGAGGCAGAGTAGGGCCACAACTTGCAACCACCACCCAGATGGCCAAAGGCAAGACGCACCACGGCGAGCAGGTCTGGTTGGTCCAGTTTAGCCGACTGGTGACGAGCAGCTTTGAAACGAGTCTTTGGTTCGCTAATAGACAGAAGCCAGAAGTGCACCGTGTCATAAACATCACTGGGCAACACCAGGTCGGAACGCAGGGCAGCAAAGGCCTCGCCGATTCTAAGGACAGCTCCCCACGTCAGGGCCAAAAGGCCTGCAACACGAGGCCAACCCCAAATGAGGGCAGTCGTTATGGCCGCGACCAGGACCTGCCAGGGTAAAGCCACATGGTGGGAGTGGGGCTCTTCCCGCAACCAAGAGAACGCCAAATCCCATGCCATCTGCAAGGACCTTCGCAGTGCTGGCTCTCGGCTTGAAACGGCGTTGATGACTTCGCTGTAATGAGAGTAGGGCCACCCTGCCTCAAACAGCTGCCTTCCGTAGCGCACAAGGAGCACATTGAGCTTCTTCGTGGTGGCCGGGTTCAAGTCAAGAAGCGCCTCAAACACCTCATCTTGCTGGAGCAGCCACTCTGAAAAAGCCTGAAGAAGCTTGTCGCGCCGCTTCTGAGTGACCTGTTCGACCGGTCGGCCTTCACCAAGAACCAGCTCAGATCTGGCTTTGGACCTTTTCAAGTCAGCTGCATGGCGCGGGCGAAGAACATGGCTCGGGGCGGCTAACTGCAGAAAGAAAAGACGTTAGCTCAGAAAGACGTGCAATCAATTGGGGATTGCGGCGGCCCGAGTCGGAGAGGGGGAACTCCCCAACAGAGGCACCGAACGCCTTCAAATGGCGGCTGATATGCGCGACCAGGCTTCGCTGTGCAGCATTCAGGGGCCGCTGGAGCGCAGCAAAGGGTATTGGCACAAAGTCGGAATGCAGGAAATTCAAAGCCATGCAAACAATGTGCAACAGACGTTGGTGCATGATACGCCTGCGGAGACGGGAGCTGCACTCCAAAGAGAAGCGGGCGAACACGCCGGCAACAGGCAAAGGGAGTGGGAAGACCACCCCAGAAGGCGGAGCAGGCTTGTCAAGCCTGGGCAGGTGCAAAGTAGCTTTTAAGAAAGAAGCAAAAGTAGTCCGAGTGCGGAGGACGGACCGAAGAAAGCCGCTGGACCAAGAGGCAAAAGACACCTGAGTGCCGAAGCCAAGGGGCCCGAGGCCACGGCCAAGTCCAGGCGGGGGCCGGCTGCACAGAACAGGCCTAGGTCCCTTCAGACATGAAGGAAGCGAGCCGCGAGAGGCACCAAAGATGGTAGGGTGAGGCCTGTCCTCACAAGGCAAAGGGAGCCCAAAAGCCTGAGCCCTCACTTTGCTGCATCTGCTTTGGGCCGTCGGGGCGGGCGAGGGGGCCGCTTTGGCCTCTGAGTATCGACGTTCAGGTCGGCCGGGGGCGTGGGGAGAGCTGCTTTCGGAGTGCCCAAAGTCTCCAGCCGCCGGGCGGTGATCAAATCCACTTCTTTGAGGTACTGCAGAGCACAAGTCGTCCAGCCGACCGGGGATAGCGGAGAGAAGGCACGGGTCCTTGGGTTCACCGACTGGCCTCGACCATGGAACAGCTGAGCCGGGGGCTCCTCCAACAAAGTCAAAAGCCAGGCCAGATCCCACCGGCCGTGGTCGAGCGAGGCCTGGTCCAGCGCCACAAAGGTAAGCGCCAGAAACTCCTGAGCACCTGCTATATCCTGCTCGGTCAGGCAGTCCATGACGTGAGCCAGGCACCACAGGGTATACCCAATCTCTCTCTGGCCTGCATAGCCTCCGAATCTTTCTAGGTATTGGCACATCGACACCTGACCCGAGCATTCTTCTAAGGAGGCTGGGCTCGGGGAAGACGGGCGCAACCTCTTCGCCGCAGCCTGAAGAACAGAAAGGTAAAAGTCCCCATTGCGAGCGGCCAGAGCTGCCTGAAGCTTTTCCCGACGGGCTGCTCCCTTCGCACCCACATAGCTCGAAGAGCCGGAGGCTGAGAGGTCGGTCAGGCCTCCATCCTGCTGGGAAACAAGGTGCTGCACAAGGCTGGCCAGGGCGCTGCTTTGCTGCAGGACGGCGGCTTGGAAAGGATCCGGAGGAGAGGCCGAAACGGCATCCTGAACATCCTGGCCCACACCGGCCAAAGGGTTGGCTGGGGAAGGCTGCTCCTCGACGGGACGGCGTGTGCGAGGAGGTGGGCCCAACAACGAAGCATTCTTTGCAACAGGTAGCCCGGGCCCCTTTGGAGGCAGGAAGTGTTGTTGGTGAGCCGGCTTGGGGTTTGCAACATTGACAACCGGAGCGCCGGCTGCCATCTGCTTTTCCATGTCTTCCTGCCTTTGGCGCATAGTGGAAAGCTTCAGCCGGGGCAGGACAGAGGCAAGCTGGCCCAGCTGAGCCGCCAGGTCGGCAGTGGTAACACGACGCTTCGGGTTGGCTTTCTTTGCCTTTGCCTTGCCGTCCTGTACGGGAGCTGGCTCCTGGGCTTCTTCTAAGGCAGAGTAGAAAGCGACCCTCTCCGAACCCAGCTCTGCCACCCAAGCCCGGGCTGCAGCCGACAACTCGTCCCCCAGAGGCGTTGCCTCCGGCTGGTGCAGGCTGTAAGGGAAGATGCCGTCGGCCACAATGTCCTCGCCCAAATCCCGGAGGAGGTCCAACACTGCAGGGCCGAAGTCCACAAGGAGGACCGGGCACTCCATGTCCAGGGGCTGCTCCACACCTTGCTCGTCCGAAGTCCCTAGAGGGAGGGTTAGCTGAGTCGATGGCCCCACCAGCGACGAAGCCTCGGCTTCGTTGCCCTCGTCGAGGAGGGCAAGAGATAAAAACCCGACAGGAACGCGGAGAAGAACTCCCTCCTGGCGCTTCATCACAGGGATTGCCAAGGCCTCTGCACTGGGAGAGGTACGGTCCGCATCGGCCCAAGCCAGGGCCATGAACTTCAGAGAGCCCTGAGAGAGAACCTCGAGGCTGCCCAAGTCGGTCATTGTTCCGGTGGCAGGGCACAGCCGGCCGCCTCACAGAAAACCTCTGCCTCTGCAAGGGAAGGGAAGGCCTGGCACACGGTGTCCGTGCCGGGCAAAGAGCCGACAGAGTCCTTGAAGAGCTTGCCTGAGGAAAAACGCACGGGGCACTGGAGGCCCTCACACCTGAGCACAATGTAGATCCTGGGGCGCAAGGTGGAGGGGAGACGGGCTGCAGGCCGAGGGGTGGGAACCACGTCCTCGAGGACAAGTCTGGCCCACTGACCAGCCTTCCAGGCACGGGAAGCGCGGGCCTCAGGTGAAGATCCGGACCCAGTAAGAGAACGGCAAGAATGCAGGCAATGGCTAGGCAGAGGAGGGAAGCCACCCTCAAGGGCGTTGTAACGGGCTGTAAGCTGGTGCACAGCAAAGGGCCCTGGAGCCGCACGGGAACCCGGCTCGACAGGGGGCTCGGGACTAACTAGAACCCAACCTTCACTAGAACCCCTAGGGCTAGAAGGGGGAGGGCGGATTGCCAAAGAAAGCTGACGAAGGGAGTCGGCCAAAGAATCCAAGGCGTCAGAAAGTCCAGGGTCACTCATGCAGGTAAGCCCGAAGGCGAAGATTCGGAGGCCTCTTGGGCTGCACAGGAGGAGTGGAAGCCGGGGCTGGTTCCCGAAGAGGAGTCCTGAAAAGGGTGTCCCTGAAGAATCCCAAGGTAAGAACAACCCCCGAAAGAGCCCCGCAAAGGAAGCAAAGGGTCACAACAAGAAGCGACCCTGAACAATGCGAAGGGCAACCTAAGCCCCACCAGTTGCTAGCGACTCCGCTCTGAACGATGCGGAGAGCTTGCTCGAACCACCACATGCTTTAGCCGCGGCATTGGTTCATGTTCGTACCTAGCAGGCAGGAAACAGGGCCATGAAGAGATCGTCTGCCGTTGATAACCAATGCAATGTGTGCCTTCCGGTTGTTTAACTCAAACAAAAGTCGGCACAGGGCAATTTTATATCAATAGACAAAAATCCGTGTACTGTCGCAAGATGCTCCAATACGAGCAAGTCGTGACAAAACCTGGGATGAAACAAGTTGCACTGGAGAGTGTACTCAGGTCGCCACTTTCGCAGCATCAAAATGTGCAAAGCACAGGTCGGATATGCTGCAGTCATAATACTGACACACCTTGGCAACAACACTCAGGTTCGGACGGGAATGGTTGGAAGTTGTCCTGCAAAAAAATGTCGGGCAATGTCAAGCTTCCTACAAAGGCTAGTACGGAAAACGAACAGTGTGGTTACCCCGTCAACCCACTACATAGACAGACTGCGATTGTCAAAGGAAGCAAAGCCAGTGCAAAGCTGTCGTGGGTGGCCTCGTCACGTCTCTGGAAGACTTATGTGCTGGCAAGGAAGGCACCTCAATGACAGTTGGCAAACACCGCTGGAACGATTCCCGGCACCCACACTTGCGACATGCTTTCGTTCTTCACCACTGCAAAGGGACAATGCTTTTCTGTTATATTCTGCTCAATCTGTGGCCATGTGTGATTGACGACGCCTGTGGCTCTGCGTTGAAGACAGGAGGCAGTTTCTTTCCAGTATGAGGCAGCTTCTTTCCAGTATGCCGAGTTGGTGGAAAAGCTATTCACGCAATTTGTTCGGAATCGCCACCATGCAAAGACTCTCCGAACGTCATCAAAGGCTGATCATTGCAGGTAAAACCAAACCGTGAGTCCGCCGAGGCCACAGGTCTCCGCCGTCTTGATGCTTAATACCCACCAATCACTGGCATGCGTTTTTTGGGGCACATTTTCGACCCCCGCCCCGGCTGGCCCCTTCTTGACCTGTCCTTTGCCTTCACCCCAATCCATTTGGGCCAATTCCACTCGGTTTTACCGCCGTTGTGGCCCGCCTGTCCCTGCCCTCCCCTCCCGTTAGCTGGTGCAGCGGAGATTATCCTTTTTTCTGGCGCACCCCCGCCAGCCCCCCGCCCCCTTCAGCCCCGGCTGGCCCCTCCTTGACCTGTCCTCGCCGCTGTTTGGGAGGGGCTGCTGCACTGTCGAGCCGAGGCGGGCTGCGTAGCGTCAGAATGAGAGCCCGGATTTTTGGGCGACAATCGTTGCACCTTCGTCTTGTGGAAGCACACCCTATTGCCTTGCATTTTCACCGAGCTCCAGTTTTCCAAAGGTTCGAAGCGCACCCGAACAGAGTGAGTGTGCGAAAGCTAAACCCTCCACGCAAGTATTGCCATTCCTGATCCTGTTTGAGCAACATCCACCAAATCGGATGGCTGCACTGCATTTTATCATTTCAACATATGGCCGTGCCGTAGGTACAACTATGGGCAAGCATAGGCAGCATAGCCTCCAGTGGGGAAAGGTCGGAGGCACATTCCCAGTAATTATCCAGTAAAACATGCCTCTGACCTGCAAGTCTTTCAAGTAAGCTGTGGGCAAAAACCCTTCTGTACATAGCTTGTCTTGGTGGAGCCAACAAAACATGCCGCCGAACCTAGCAATCTGTGGGCCTGCGTGATGCATGCAGATTCGAACACAGGTTGGGCCACCTGTAAGGTTTCGGACTTCATTGAAGGCTTTTTCTGAGCTCCGCAGTTCGTTGCACCTTGCAGGCCCGTGAAGGTGAAGATGTCGAGGTGCCTGGCAACGTTTCGGAGCTGCACCAAAGACGTCCTTCAGAAGGAACACTGCAAGGAGCCGGGCTGACTAACTCCTTGCCCTCCAAGTAGAAAGGACCAGAAACTCTTCGGGGCCAAAGCCTGCGGAAACAATACGGACGCTGAACAGATCAGTCTGGCACACTTGGGAAACTCTCAATCCTTCTATCAACAATGCGCCGTTACGTCGCCGTCCAGCTCTCTGTCCAGTCTCTCCCTCAACATCTCAAGACCTGACAACCTCTCCATGCAAGCGAGTTGTGCCGACTTCCCACACTATGCCTCCCAGAAACAGCAACCTTGGTGCAAAGGGCAATGAACCTCCGGCGAGTTTCGATACGCCAGCAGTTCCTGTGCGAGCCAATCAGGGACTGTATGCCACATGGCCGACCAATGACACGTGGATTGTGAAGCGTCGAAGCACAGGCAGTCCTTGGAGTTGAAGGGCTTGCCCAGGGTTGCAACCTTCACCAATGCAACTGCCGTCGAAACAAAGCCGGCATCTGATGCCATCAGGCGACATCACAAGTTGGGATCACCCTTCGAGCAGCTACTGCATGGCTACAGCAAACTGACGGGCAGTCTTCACTCTTTTCAATCCCGTGCCTCGAAAAGGACCACTCCCAAGGACCTCCAAAAGCGACAAATCAACTGCTGCCACGTGCTTGTCAGCTCTAAGCATCCGGCCAAATGTCGCAGTTCAGCCCGTAGGGACGTCGGCCCAAGAGTTCCGGGGCCATGATCCTGTACAGTTGGTGAGCGCCACTTCTGGCTGCGCTTGCAGAGGGGGACATGCGGAGATGCAAGAGCACAAGCCATCCAACAGCACCCAAGCCAGTTATGCGGATAAACCAGAGAACACCGCTCGTACCCTACCACAAGCGCTCCAGAGTGTGCCGGTCTCATCTCGACGTTTGGCCGCCTTGAGCAGAACGAAAACATTTCTCCGCCCATCACTCTTCACATGGACAGCACATGCAGCTGCACCGAGGGCAGCTCATCGTCCAGCAGCACCGCTGTACCAAAATCTGCCAACTTGTAGCAACCTGACGCACGACATGCGATCTGTCGAAGAGTCTTATTTGACTTCACAGATGCTTCCCGCCCTCGCAACGGAACCCTCACCTGGCCTTGGGCCCACAAGATGTTCTCGCTCTTGACATCCTTGAAAGCACGTCGTCAGCACGTCTCTTCCGCACTCTGGCGCTTCCACACCCAATCTGGGCTCAACGCCCTGTGGGCAACACCATGACGGTGCAGGAAGGTCAGGGCAGACAGTAGGTTTCGCAGCACCTTCAACTATGTCGACGAAACGAGGGAGATCTGCTTCTTGTGTTCAGATATTACTCCGCTCCTGAAGCACTTCCGACTCTGGGAAGCGGAAGCGGCCGGGCTCGGAGAGGATCTTTACGCAACCTTCGCCAAGGTGGCCGAGACAGGCGCAGAAGTGTTCAGCCATGCGCTACTACACTGACATGTTGAGACTGTTGAGAAAGCTGCCGTCTGCTGCTGCGCCATTGCCTTACTTGGCAGCTAGATGCAGCTAGCGACCGGCGGACACAATGGCACAGGCTGCAGAATATTCAATAATGGCCTTCGTGCTTGCTGAACCGGCTTCCGCCGACAAAGCTTCCGGCTGTAAGCACGTCGCTGTGCTGCCAAGCTTTTGTCAAAGTCCGCTCGGAGATTGCCTGCAGCTTGTGGATTAATGGGGATGCAGACAGCTTTTATTGCAGCATATGCTTTGATGGTGATCATGGTCTCCACCTACGAAATTCCAGCCTGCTGCAAAGATCATGTCAGCCAAACTGAAGGAGCACAGTTCCATAACCTGACATTGTCACCGCTGCTGTGCACGGTTGTGCCGTCATTGGGAGGTTCTACCACACGGACTCAAAACTTCGTGCGCAGGTCTCTCAGCAGCAAGCCAAGTAGACTTCTCTGTCCAGGCCCGTCGGTCCTGCACCGAACCAATAGAGCCGCTTTGTGAGAGTGTAAGCCTCATTTAACTCTGCAAGAATGCTGTGGCGTCCTGCAAACCAATCCAAATAAGCAACGAGACATGGATGCCTCGGAAATGTTTTCCAACTCAGCCATCACGGCAGGGCTGCAAAGGCCTACACAGGCTGAGGCGCCTGAGGTCCTGGAGCTTCAAGTGATGAGCATCACACTCTACACCATCGGAACTGCGAACTCTTTCTAGGATCTCGGCCCCGGAGACACGGGATCCCCAACCTCAGCTCAGCAGACGGATAAGGTGGTCTTCTAAGTGCTTTCAGAGAATCTAGTCTGCTGGGGTTTGTTCTTTACATCTCGCCCCCTCCAGGCATCTTTGCTGGCCGAACTCCTACTGATGCCACATGGTTTCATCACGCATGCCATACATCTCGACGAGGCCAGCACCTCCTCAGCATACTTCGCTCGACAGTGGAATACCACCGAGATCTGGAGCTGACATGATGGGTTGCACAAGAACGAGCCTGGACGAAGCTTCCTGTGACACAGCCCTTCATGTCACCAACATCATGGCGACATGAATACAGGGAAAAAGCCTTTCACCTTCAAGTTCCGACGAAAGTAAGAGCAAAACCCTGTGCTGTTCCACGACGGCCCGCCTCTTGCTGTATCTGACGCTGGATGGCCGCGTTGATGGCACGCATATGCTTCAACGCAACCTACACGGATCGTGGTGTGATGAGCACTCCACATATAAACTTACGAGCACACGGGATTTCGGTGCTGAACTAGCAGGTCGACCAGGCAACAGCTATTCAACTATCCCATCCGCTCCAAACGACCGGGCTGGAAACCTGGCCTGCGAGCTGTCGATGGAAAGGGCCCCATATTCCTGGCATCAGTGGTCCAACTTACAGCGGCCGACGCTACAGCACGATACCAAAGAGTTTCCTTGCACCAGTGCGAAGAAACGAAGCAGGCAAAGAGGCTTCCGCAGCCACCAGAGCAACTGGCCGGATGGGCTGGGCAGCTTGCTGGAACACGGCCAAGGAAGACCTCGCCTCGCACATCGGAAACACAATGATTGACACATCCTGCAGGAAACCTCCGTGGGTCTGTGAGCCATGTCTGTGGCACAACCAATCATGGCCTCGTTGTTCAAAACTGCACAGAAGCCGAGGACCCGTCCAGTTGCCCCACATGACAGGTGCTTGCCTTGAACGTATCCTGCGAACAGAAATTGCGATACACACGAGACAATAACACCGCAGACACCCAACCCAAAGAAATAATGGAAACGGAGCTTCCAGAGCGATATTCACCACCATGAGCGAAACCTTCTAACTTGATTCAGCAACGTCGGGACCTGATTTACATGGCCCTCTCCTCGGTTTTGCAAGCGCCGTCCGGTCTGGAAGCCGCGGCAAGCCGCGAGGAGTTCCGACTGGCATGATTCAAATCCGCAGTTTACAGCCTGCTCGAAAGTTTGTGAAAACACAACAACTGCGACTGCGACCAGAAGCTTGGCTGAAATGGCCACGACACTTGCAAAACTTGAAGTTGTAACTCCAAATCCTGCTGTAGCTACAACTGCAGAACGGATTCTGCACCTTGGAAAGCGGCTGGGTTCGCGTGTCTGACTCGGCGGCCCGCGCCATTCACCATGTCTGCTCAAACTGGACAGAACGTGGTATATGTAAAGGCTAGGCTGGCACAAGCCAATGCTGTCAGCGCTACATTAAAGTCCAAATTATCCTTTGTCGCTGTGAGATTTTGTGTCGTGAACGAGCGGTTGACACCTCGTTTACTGCTGAACCGAAACCCTTTTCTTCGTCTCTGGCGAAGCGAACATGCACCTTCGGCTCTTCGCACTTGCAAGACCGGACTTGCAGTATCCCCACATTCAACTCTGAAGCCGTACCAGATCAATACAAGCGCCACAACTACACCAGCAAGTCTACGTCGCTCGTGGTGGTAGCGGCTTTGACTGGGTAGCCAAGTCTAACGAATTTCATTCTAACTCTCTAGTGCATGAAACATTGCTAAGCCGTCTGCAGCCATTGCAACAGTGTTCAAGAAGCGTGCTTCAAGAAGTACCGTGGAGGGTTCCGTATTTCACATCTTCAAACTTCCTCGTCCTAATTCACTAAGCTTGCTCTTGATCTGCTGTGCCTCGAACCTCAGTCCGGACTTTTTTAAGAGAAAGCGAAGGTCGGAGCCGATGGATGCATCGGATCGTCGCTCGGCCTCGATGCTTTGGACCTCAAAAGAGAAAGCCAGGCGATGCTCGGATGACTTTCGAAAGGCGTGGGACGGTGTGGGGCCAAGGCTTTTGCTTTTTCGTCTTTTTGCTTTCTTCAGCCCCGGTGCCTGTCACCGGAGCAAGGGCCCAACGTACGCACAGAACGACGCAGGAGAGCCTTCGGCAACCAGATGCTCTGAAAGTTCGCCTGGAACTGCCGCCTAGCAAGGTTGGAACTGGAGAAGCCAGAAGCTGGAGCCTCACCACTTCCGGGCCTGCTCCGGCAGAAGTATTCTCAACAAGCTGAAAGCGTTGGCTTCATCGCCTGCTCACGATGGTTCAGCTGAAACGCTTGCGGTGGCGTGTTTCTGGGGAGACCTGACTACTGTACTGGCTTGGGTATCTTCAGCAGTGTCACACCTCTTCACAAGACTGGCTTCGCTCACGAGCTCTTGCCTTCAGGCGTTGGCAGTGCCGTCTCCTGATGGCGCAGCTTGCGGACCATCCTGGGGCATGAAAAAGACAGCAGGCGCTACAGAGGCGGCGGGGTGAGAAGACGCGACTAGCTATCAAACATCCCTGATGCTTTGTTGCTTGGCTTGCCACGTCGGCTGTGGAAGTGGCTCGTGTGTCCATACCTACTTCCGTACTCAGACAGCAGGCTTTCTGCATCCGCCTATCCCGATCCCGGAACAGCCCATCAGGGCTGGGCTCTTTCGGGATCTGCTCACGCTGATCCGAATTCCGGCCAAAAGCTCGTACGGCGTCCGAAGGGGATGGTTGCGCAACGTCTGCGAAATCAAATCTGCCGATAAGAGACGAAGAGCTCGGATGCGCCTCCCCCCCATTTGCAGCAAACACGTGCTCCAGTTTGGCTGGTCTTCATCGGTTATGACGTCTTGGAGATATCCAACCCGCAATGCATGCCAACTGACTGTTCTAGTTTTCGATATGCGTTGGGTCGCTAAATATGGATTCGTCTCTGAGATTGGGGTTTTGTGAGCGTACTTTTTGTGTTGTTGAGACTAGCTTCACATGTGCTGACTGTGTCCCCTGTCTGGCGGTTTGGTTTTGAGTGGTTCCATTGCCAGTTTCATCATGCTTTTGGGTTACATTCCTCCAGATCGTATGAACGGAATGCAGGTGCCTGTGGGTCGGGAGGGTCTAAATTCGCTACCAAGCTCGAACTGAAAGCAGGATGTGACACCGACAACGTGAGTCACACCAACGTGCTGAGGCGTGGTGCACGATCCCCTGTGGCCATGTTATGCGCTCGCCGATCCTGGACATTTTCATTCGCCCATTTATGATTTTTCTCAATGCTACTTCAAGAGTCAGGACTCAAAAAGCCAACCATGGCGACCGAGGCAACGAAAACCCATGTAATCCTGCGCATCCGAGTGATGCTGCTGGGTTCCTGACGCGGCCCATTCCACTCGCGGAACAACTTGTCCCCCCAGCTCCAGCTTGTAGTCCTCGGCAGGTAACCACGATTTCTCGATGCACGCCATGGAATTCGACAGCTCGGAGCGCGGCTAACTCCATTCCAAGATCCCAAATCTGGAATCCTTGCTTCGCCTGAGCATCACTAGGGGGACCCAACAAATCAGCCACTCCTTGGTGACATGGCATGAGTCAACGATGCGTCGCTTGCCATGTCAGACTCTGGGTGTCGACACCGATGTCTCCACTACTCGAGACTTCGAACGTGCTGCACTGCGTCCGGCTGGCCATCTGAGAACTCCGACCAGCCATGCCCCAAGCGCTGCTAGCTGCACACATCCTGCGCCTGGGTACCTCGGAACGTTAAAACGGAAGATGCAGCCGGAGATTGAGTGAAATAGTGCTCCTCCAGGGATCGGACTTGTCTTTGATGGAGAAGCCAGTGCAGCTACTGCAGGGCAGCGTCTTTGCACAAGTCATACATGCAGCTGAAGAAAGCTCTCCACAAACTAGTGTACAAAGAAGTGTAACAAAGAGCCCAACCTAAACAACAAATCACGCACCATGTCATGTGTTCTTTTGAATGCACTTCCGAAACTGCACAAAGGAGCAGAGCCTGTAGGTGCTGCCTCGATCGAATGAGGGGCAACGGCCATATGACAAACACACATCCATTCCTGCACAATCCGCAGTGTCTTGCGACATGCAGCAGCTGGGCGCCACACCACATGTGTAGCCTGCCGCACATCGTCAAATCAATCTCGGAACGACCCGTACTGTAGCAGAAGCGTGCTTGCACTTCTTTCGCCACATCTACTTTGCTGGAAGGATCCTAGACTGCCAGTGCCTCTGAGGTTCAGAAAGCAACGCTATCCCATGCAAAAACGTCAACAAAAGCTGAGTGGCCGTTTCTGCTTTTGCAAACCTATGTCCCGGATTATCGGCTGCATGGCCCTTGCAGGAGGCCAGCTGCGACGCAGAAGTGCCAACTAGTCTCCTCGTGGATCTTTGCTGGCTATGGGGAGGAAGATTGACAAGCATGGGTTTTCTTATTCATTCATGCACGTTGTTTTTTTGTGCTTGGCTGGAAATTAGAAGGAGGAGGCACTCATCAGAACCCAACGCCCCAATGAGACACAACCAGCTAAGAATGAAAACATACACTCACATGCAACGGACCATGAGGGCATGCATGCGTCTGCAGGCAGCGTAAGCTCTCACCTGGTTGTAACAAGCAAACACCATGCAGTGGTGGCATGGAACAGCATCAGGGATTTGGTTTCGGCCGCCCCACCTTCTTTTTGGAGTCTTCGAAGTTTGCAGTGCAGGATGTTCAGGAGAAACGAAACGTGAACACTTCAAAACCTGATCTGGCTTGGGCACAAGCGCACGGCTTGGGAGGACATTTAGCAGAAGCCCTGAAAGGAAAGCTGAAGCTGCGCCTATTTCTCCGGCGACGAGATCACCGTTTTGGCAATTCCACAACCTGGCAAGTCACAAAAAGCTGGTCTCTGCTAACAAGTCGCCCTGGCAGCTGGCAAAAGGCCTCGAACACAAAGGCTTGCAAAACACATGAAATTGTGCATCCGTCTGGAGCCACAACACACTGTCCCTACCCGTTTGGAGTTTGCATGTTGCTTTCGTTTCATAGCAACACAAGTGTGTCCCATGTCACAACAATGACACAGGCTAAGTTCACCCTGTCATCTGTTTCTGCGCTTAGGCAAAGCTGAAACTACAAACCTCCACCGACCTTGACTGTTTCTCGTGCCCCACACTCAAGAAAGCATTATTCCAAAAAGTGCGAACACTCGCCCCGTGCAGCAAAGTGGCTCTATGGAAAGAAACCGAATGCCACCTCTCAGCCACTTTGAGCCTCTGCAGGGAGCACGTTGAGGTTGCTGACCCAAAGGCGCAAACCAGCATTGCGATCAAGTATGCAAGGCAATGCATTGTACGGGCATAGAATGAAGACACCTGAAAGACTGAGCCACACGCCAAGGCTTTCCACGTCCTGCAAGCGAATATGACCCACGCATGCCTCAAGTGGCCGTACCTTGCAAGAACTAAATAAACTCCACTCTGCAACGGAAGGCGGGCTTTCAACATCTCCTTGTACGCCTGTGCCATTTTGTCCGACAGCCAGCAATCACCTCCAGGCAAGTGTACGACAACGATGAATCACTGTCACGGAGAACCAGCTGCTCTTTCGTGCAATTTTTATGAAGTCACACACAGACATGCTTGAAAAGGAAGTCGTGTATGCAAGACTTCATGGACCCACGCATGCCTGGTGCCGAAGTCCATGTGTGGCGCTGAATGTTGTCGACAACCTGCAAAGCGCTGTTTTCTGCTGTCTGCATGATCACATTATGCTCCGAAATATGTTCGCGGAAGCTCCCAGACTCTCCCTTGTTTCTCTCGTTCCCTCGTCCCTCCTTTTGAACCTCACTCAAGTGCAAACATTCATCCCTCCCCGACGGCGAGAGCATTCGATTGAAGCACTCACGGAGAAGCGCTGTTTTGCAAATGCCCAGCCCTCAGTGTTGACTTTCCCTAGCGGCTAGCGTCTTGTTGCCTTCAACCATCACTGCGGGCCAGACCTCTGACCATGCCTCATTCACAGAAAGCCGGAAAGCTTTCGCGCGCTTCTTGACCTCCATGTCAAAAGCTTACGTCTTGATGATGGCACAGCGAAGTCGTGCAACTTCCATCCGGCCTTCTTTCCAACATGTGTTTTGCCTGATTTGGTAATGACGCGAGAATTGTCATGGGAGCTCCGACAAATCCACGATGTGGCGGATTCCCGACGGGGCGCAGTCAGAACTACGTTGCGAAACAGGCAGGTCACATTTGTTCTGACTTTGCCGAGGAGCTCGGTTCCAAAACACACCGCTGGAGGTGCATCTTCCCCAACAGCATGCCCACCTCAGCTACCCGATACCCAATGCAACAGCACACCACATCCAGACA